TTATTAAAATAACTTAATAATTTTAATATCAAAATTACACTTTTAATATATAATTCAAATAAAAATATATGAAACTCAAATAAATTTTAAAATCAAGAAAGCCTTGGTCAAAAGGGAAAGTACGCGTTAATTGATGTATACTAATTAAATGGAGAGGGTTATAAGTGAAAAGTTAATTTTAAAGATAAACCCAAAAAAAAAAAAAAAAGGCGGCTAACAATTCTTCATGAGTCGTAACACATGTCATTGGTCATCCTTGAATCCAACAAAACGGTGTTGGAAACGTCTCCATCGTGAAGTCGTAAACCCTGAAAAACATCTCCCCCAAACCATGAAAAACATCCCCCCCAAGCTGCACGTCCAAATGTTCCGGTGATTGAGGCACTGATTCTTGCAATTGATTTCCGATATATCACATGGGTTGAGTTGTTTAGAAGAAACAAGACATATAATACGAATGACTTTTCAGAATTAATCGTTTAAAATTAGGTAATTAACGAAAGGAAAAAGGATTGACATGCTTCCAATAACTTTTTCCTCTCTCTCTTTTCGGGTTTTTAAATCACCTTTTTTCCTTTGATTAATCCTACAACTAATTATTTAAAAGGTGAAATCAATGGAGATTGAATTAAGGGGACGAGACAATTTAAAGACCATCTGTTTGCAATAAAGATTCAATGAATGCTGTCATGCATTTCAGTGTTGATAGTTATATTGCACTTAAGAAGTGTAATTGTTTTGTCCTTCTACAACAACCACTCATGTGTGCTGGATAATCACTGATTCTCAATCACCATTAGTTTTTACCCATTAGATTATTAAAACTAAGAAATAATAAAAAGAATTTGCTTATCATATACCCTTATGGTAGAGATTAAAATTTATTAATTAAGGTATTTTTAATTAATTTTATATAAATTTTCATATTAGATTTATAATTTTTTTTTTATAAATTTTAAATATAAATATTTTATTTTATTTGAATCTTATATGAAATTTTGTACAAAATTAATTGTAAATATTGTAATTAATGATACTTAATTACAATCTAATGCTTAAAATATTAAGATTTTTTTGTGAAATTATTCAAATATTTTTAGTATTTTTTGTGTATTAACTCATTAAAATTATTTTAAACTTTTTATTATAATTCTTTGCATTTAAAATATTATAACATCTTATTTTTATTTTTTAAAATTAAAATAGTGGTATTAATATTATAAATTTAT